GCTGTGATCAGTGGGAATAAAGTAGTTTTAATATGTTTTTAAGTGGGAAAATCCACCTGATAATCTGTGCAGTCAGTTCATCCAGATTACCATCCTGCCTTCCAATATTATTTCCTGCAGGCAGCAGGATAATAAAAGCGAACATATTCTGCCGGCAGGTTTTAGCATTTTAAGTAAATTTATGCGTCAATAAACTGTTTCAGAGGAGTGATCACAGCGCTCTGTATCATCAGCGATGTCTCTCTCTGCCAGCTCCCAGATCAGCTTCTCTGATTGGTTGACGCGGCGCGTCGAGCAGCAAAACTTCAAATTTTCCATCTCGAGCAGCAGCACGTTTGCGGCGCGTCAGATGCTTAAATGCTCCCGACGCGCTGCTTCAGCTACTCAGACGCGCTGCGGGACCTTTTGCTGCGCCTTGACGCGCGTCAACCATTGACTTTCCATGTAAACTCGCTGCTTCTGCTGCACCTGCTGCGTCCGTTGTGAACGCAGCATAAGAGTTTATTAACAAAAATCATTCAGCTCCAAGTCAAACATATTCCAGTTTAACACTCTTAACTAAAACTAGTGAAACTAACTACTATGTACAAAGAGGAAGGGGAACATGGTTGAAAACCATATTACAGTTTAAGATGGATTTTGTGTTTGAAACCAAAGTTTATCTGGAAGAATTTGCGATATGATCAAATGAGCTTTTAACTAAAAGCTCATTTGGGGGGGGGGTGCACTGGAAGAAGATTCTCCTGTTTCCACCACAGAGGCCTGCAGGCCGTCTGCAGCCGGTCAACAAGAAGCAAGCAGCTGTTACCCGTTTCTGCTCGGGGCCGTTCCATTGTTCTTAGATTAGATCCCGTATCTTTAAAGGAAAACAGGAACCTGCTGACTGAGGGAAAACCAGTGAAAGGCATGAAGGACAGTTTGTACTGTAAACAGCGTCCAGCTCTCATGTTGGCTCGCCGTCAAACTGATGCAGTTCCATTATCATCCACAGCGTGCAGCCGGTTTATGGAGCGCAGCATCCACCTCTAGATCCTCGCTTGCGACGGACGTAAGTGTGAAACGGCCTGCTGCATGGCTCCGTGACCCGCCGAGCGCACCGCTGCTCCGTGTTTTCAGTAAACCTGTGGACTGCATGGGCCGTTGTGTTGCAACCCTGACCTTCTATTTCAGTGTCATGTCAGCCTGTGGTCCTCATTGTTTTGAGATGCACCAGCAGAGCTTCTCTGGTCAAACCTGAGATTAAAGGGAGGAGAAAATGTTCCAGCCATGGTTTGTTCTGCAAAGCCGAGTTTAAAAATATTCATTGGTTTATAACCAGCCTTCATTCTTACTCCCTCAGTAACGATCTTAACACTGAAGAGTGTTGGCAGAGGGACCTGGTTGGGATTAAATCAGCTGATCTCAGGTCAGGCCTGATTCCCTCTAACCAGCCCGTTATGGTGCATCTCAAACATGAGGATTCATTTAAAAAGGAAAAGCCGGTCGGTCATCAACCCCCCTAGGATCAGTCAGGGTTTTTCACCTCTCCTCTCCCCCCCTCCCCTCCCTGCAGGTACCCAAAGGACACTAAGCCCAAGTTCAATAACCTGAAGTCTAAGAAAGCCTGCAGCTTCCAGGAGTTTGCCTGCAGCACCAACGATGCTTGGGACATTGATGATGAGGAGGATGGACATTTCAGCGGGACTCCTTTCTCAGCGGCTCTCCCCCCTTCAGGCCAGGAGTCAACCTCATCTCTTCACAGCCAGGTAGCTGCCCAGGAGTTACCCTGTTAATCCCAGAGAAGCTGCAGGCCGCTCTAACGCAGGGTGGTCTGTGTTTGATTTCTGCTTTCCCGTAGAAACTAAGGCCGCAGGCAGAAAGGCCCGACAGGAACGAAGCTCCCCATCCCCAGCAGGACCATCCCTCTGACTGTCCGCACGTCAACGGGACGTTTGGAAAGTCTTGCAGTGACGCAGACCTCAGCTCATCCTCAGGTATGTTGCAAATGTCCTGCAGAGGTTGGGCTGTAGGGATTAGATTAGATCAGACCGTGTTTCTACACGTCCCGCTCCACCAACACAAGCAATAAGAGCTGCAACCCTTTCATTGCCTTCTGGTTTTCTCTTTATCATCCTTCAGTTTTCAGTGGAAAGAAATAATAATAAAAAAACAGGAAACCATTTCTTGTTTTGACTGATTAAAAACACAGATGGATAACAGATCTAACTTCTACACTTCAGGATGTGACTCAGTCTAAAATCCTTAAAGTTACCCCGCCCTTAAATATTTCAACATTTCTACACTTAGACATCTTTATAATCAAGGTTGGACAATAAACCTATGTCTATATATAAACTCAATATTTTTTATTTATTTATTTAACCTTTATTTAACCAGGAAAAAAATCCCATTTAGATTAAAGTCGTGGCCAAGAGGCAGCAAGGTTACATAAGATACATTAAATGTAATAAAAAAATATAAAAAACATAAAAAATAAAAAACATATCAAGTAAAACAATTAGAGATTGTTGAGGCTGCTTCAAATTCTGCCTGTCTTTGCCTAGGGCCCTACATTTCCTATATCTGCCCCTGGTAGGATCTTCCTGTTTCTGGTTATCTTTTTTTATTTAACCAGGAAACAAAATCCATTTGGATTAAAAACGTCTTTTTCAAGGGGGTCCTGGCCAAGAGGCAGCAAGGTCACTTAAGATACATTAAAATAAATGACAGGTACATAAAAAATAAAAAAACATATAAAATAAAACAATTACAGATCATTGAAGCTGCTTCAAATTCTTTCACTTTCAACTTAAAAGCATTTAAAGATAAAACCTCAGTCAACTTCCGGTTTCTTTGTAAAAATATATCCAATATCGTCATGGTTACAATGTAAACAGTTTTGTTTCCTTATTTTCAATAAACGCTCGTCAATAAGTATCACCAATATCGTCATGGTTACAATGTAAACAGTTTTGTTTCCTTATTTTCAATAAACGCTCGTCAATAAGTATCATTATTGTCTGATTTTATAGGATGGATTTCACCAGCGTTTTGGATTTTCACTGTTTAGAAATTAGCAGAGGAAACTTCCTGTTTCTATCCGACTGTTGGTCATGTGACCCGTGAAGCGTTTGCATTGCATTCGGACTAAAACCGCCTCATTAGCATGTGAAAACTTTAATTCAAAGCAGAACAGGCTGGTTTCCATTAAAGCAGGAAGGCAGATGCTGATGTTTCAGCTTTAGCTCCTCTGTGATCGTTTATTAATTTCTGACATCATGAAGGTTGTAGGTGGTTTATGGTTGTTTTCCTGTGTTTGGAGATAAACCACATGATCCACGATGACATCATCTTATAAAATCAAATGAGCTGTTTGGATTTTTTAGCATCAACTCTGCTTAAAGCAAAGGTTTTAGCTGCAATAAAATGTATTGTTTTGAGTTTGATATAAATGCGCCTCCAAGGTCATTTAGATTATAGAAAAGTTTTAATCCAGCTGTGATTTGATTTTTACTTCCAGGGCAAAAAGGCAAAATGGTTTGAAACTTTAACATAGTGATAATTAATGAGGCATCTTTTTTTATTGTTATATATTTATTTATTCAGAATATATGTCCAAATACAGTCTACATCCAATGTACAATGGTGTTCTTTTTTTTTCTTCTTATTTTTGGAACCTCAAAAAACCCCAAAAGAGACAACAAAAACAACTGAATCGCCATCTGTTGATGGTTGATGAAATTCTAGTTGCATTTCTATGGGATTATGGTCTGAAATCATAGCTGCTAAATAACAGGTTTTAATTTGTGCCAAAAGTGGATGTGAGGTCAAAAACATGTCAATTGTTGAATAAGTGTTTGTTGACATTGGAATAAAATGAATAGTCTTTGCTGGTTGGATTACGTAAACGCCATACGTTCCCCGATCCTAATTCTTTCTTGCCCTGAACCAGAGCCACAGCAGATCTGGAGAATGTAACTAGTTTAGGAGAAGAGCGATCCATTGATGGATTAAGAACCAGCTTAGGCTACGTTCTCACTGCAGGCCTTGATGCTCAAATCCGATTTTTTTTTTTTCTTTTGCGTTGCCGTTCATATTTCCAAATATTATGTGATCTCCTGTGTGAACTGCAGTCATACAACGCAAGTGTCCTGCATGCGCAGTAGAGGACCCAATAACGTTACAGGCACAGTGTAGTGCCGGCGCGCATCTAGTGATCTTTCCCAACCATAAAAAAACAATCTTTTCAACATGGTTAAACATAAATACTGCTCTCCGTATCATCATCCGCCATGGTGTTTGTTTTTCTTGCAGCTTCTGCGTAGCAAGACGCAGAATAGTGACCTTTGTCGGGTATTAATGGCGTTCAGGTCGGATGAATGTTACCTGGCCGTTCACACACAGGTCGCATTTGAAAAGATCAGATTGGTATCGGATTCAGGACCACAGAGACAAGTGCTCTGGGTCGGATTGGAAAAAATCTGATCTGTGTTGTTAAAGGAATAGTACACCACACATGATTAGCCTTCATTTTCTACTCACCCCCATGCTGAACAACACTCTGGAGTACTTTTTTGATATCTCAAATGCATCTGG